AATTAATTAAGAACGTTGTTCAAGAAAAGAGAGATTGTAATTCATCGCATTAGACGACTCATTGAAAATACTTTCTAACGAATCCAAAATGAATAAATATTTTGTCAAAAAAATTTTTCAATCTAATTCAAAATCCAATAAATAAATACTAATCATAATCGGTTTTCTTTTTATCAAAACAAAATCATTTTCTTATATCTGTTGTTTCCAAACATGAACAGTTTTATCATAAAAACTACAAGAAGCAATTAAACTATCTGATGAAATTTTTTTATCACATATTGCTGTTGTTGTTGTTTCTTCATTCATACAATCATCCATTAATTCAGTTAATTGATTCATTGTATCATTATATTGCCAATCACAACCATAAGCTAATGATTGATGATCTTTATAATTACATAAAATTATTGATGTTTTTAAATCAACAATAACAAAACCATTTTGCATACAAGCACATAATAGTATATTTGAATTTAATGGATATGGTTTTATTTTCCATATACCACCACCTAATTTTATTTCTTTTAATATTTGATTCATTTGTCGTTTATCCCATTGTCTTAAATATTCATCAAATGAACCTGTTAAAAATTCATATTGATTTAATTCATTTGATATTATTGAACATATACCCATTGTATGTTTTCTATTAATATGTATAGGTTGTTTATAATCTCTTATATCCCAAATTTTTAATAATGTATCATCAGCACCAGAATAAATTATATTTAAATCATGTTTATCCCATATTGATGTCCAACATTCATATTCATGTGCTAACCATGATTGACTAAAACGTAAACTATTTGTATTATCTAATTCACATATTGTTAAATAACCTTGTTGATCACTTATAACAACATAATTATTTATTGAATGTAACCATGAATGTGATAAAGCTATTGTTTGATTATTAGTTACATTTTCACATAGAATTGGTTTTGTTATATCATTTAATGAATATAAAGATAATTGTCCAAGTGCAGAAACAGTTGATAATAATGTTAAATCTAATGAACATTTTATCCATTTTAAATCAAGTATTCCACCATTTGTTTTATGATATTGATTAATATCAATTGTTTTTGTTAATGAATTATATTGAAATAAATAAATTGAACCTTGTCTTGTCATATTTTCTGGATTATATAAATATGTACCACAAGCAAATATATCATGATGTATAGGACACCATTCAATACTATCTGGTGGACAATCAGTTATAAAATTAGCTTGAAACATATTTCTTAAAAAAAACAATAAACATTGAAAACAAAAATTACAAAAAAAAAAAAAATCAATAGAAATTTATTTCGAATGTGTACGAAGTATAATTAGCCAAGAAACAAGAAAATAAAATAAAAATATTGGATAAAGTACAAGCATACGACGATTTGATTGTTGAGTTTGACCAAGAAAACGAATACTTGCATACATTGTCCATATAAATGCACTCATTACTATTAAAAATCTTATTATATGTAATATTGCTTTAAATGGAAGATAGAAAAGAAAATAACTTATAAATGCAGATATTAATAATGGTAATAAACAATAACCAAGTACACAAACTGATTGAAAAAAAGATATTTTACCACCAAGTAATTGTGAATTAATCTAAAATATAATCAAAAATTAATTGATCTCGTTTGAAATTGAATTTGATCTAAGCCGATCTTTAATCATAAAAAAAAAATTCTGAAGAAAAGATTGCAAAACACGAGATTGATATATTTTCAAACATTTTCTTTCTCAAACGATAAATATACTTTACATTGTCAATTTTAGTATCCCGTCGAAAATTCTATTTTCTATTATTATCATTTCGAATTTTTTTTTTTTTGTTCATAACATTAGTATTACATCCGAAAATTCATGTCATTCTATTACAATATTGTCCTTGATTATTCATTTTTCACTCTTTTTAATGATCACTGTTAACTCAACCGTGCTTAATCCGTTGAGAGCAGCGGCACATAAACTGTATCATTTATATTCCAATGAAGAAATTGTTTGCGCTCTATGAAACTGTTATGACATGTAATGTAATAGGTTATTCCATCTGTTATTTCATGCATAGCTTTTCTCTCTTGCTTCCTGTCATTTATATCCTTCTCAAATGTTCTCTTTTGTTTCTGCTAATATACATCAAAGTCATGATTGCTTCCTTCCTTTTCTTGATATATTATTATAAGTATTTTTATGAAATCATTTGAATCGAATGAAATAAAATGATTGAATACTTATAGTTCAATTGAAAAAAACTCGTCCTCACAGCTTTAAGCATAGAAATCGCAATTATTTGACTCGGAGTGTGCATATGAAGAAAATATATGGCTCTTTGAAAGCGTATTACTGCACGAAATATTGTTTCTATACATTATAATTTTATTCAAGAAAGTTTTACTTTGGCACAATGAAAAAACTTGCTTTCAGGAAATTAGACGCTAGCTAAGCTAAGAAAACAGCTGTTTGAAAAATCATTATTTACGTGTTTCATAATCTTTCCTGCAGAATTTTCTAGCGTGATGTTTTTTTTATAGTAAAACCTCGTAGAAGATTTTGAAAAGGGCTCAAGTCTAAGTAATAAAAATATGAAAAGATATAATCGAAATTTTAAGGGTGACATCTATTCGGATCTACAAATTTTGAGTTGAGAAGAAAGTTTAATAAAAGTCATTCGTGTTTACCTAGAATATCATAAAAGATTCAAAGAAGAAACTTTATTTTTATGGAAATTTGTGAAATCAATCAATGAATATTTAATCTTACAGATCATTCATAAAAGAAGTTTGAGAAAATAAAGGAGAGAACAAATACATCTGAATGTTCAAACGCTTATTATAATTTTTTTAGTATATTCTGTTTTCATGTTCATTTTGAATTTCCTATTTAAGATAGCGAACAAGTAACGTATATATATATTTTTTAAAGGACAGAAAAACTTGTCTAGATTAATAATAATTACATAATAAATATTGTGTTTTATTGTATGAATAAAATTCATGATGATTGTTTCTTTATTTTAATTTGTTATTTAGTGTAAGAACTTTTTCTTATTCTGAAGAGAGAAGTGAAAAAATGCAATTTTTTTTTTTTCTTCATAGGATGTCTTTAATAAAAGGTCTATTAACATATGGAATTCATTTCAGTATTCTTTTCAAATGTCTTATTAACTTAGTTTGCTCGAGAAATTTTTAAATTAAAATAAAAGTCAAGAGATTCAAAAAAAAAAAAAAAATTAGTTTACCGTAACAATAATTGATCCAATTAACATTAATGTAAATACTTCAGCAAAATGTATACCACTACTTGTTTTTGTTGAATTACTTTGAAGAAGAATAGCTAATGTTGTAACTAAAATAAGTGGTCCCCATAAATCCCACTGTTGTAAAAGTGTTAATGATTTACGTGGAATAAGTGCATGACCAAATTTTCGAAGAACAGCATAAAGATCACCTTGAAAATTAAATTAAAATTAGTTTTTTAATTTTATTTTTCTAAGAAAATACAAACGTTTTATAGTTTCGAAAATCGGTTCATCAAGTGTTGAAAATTCATTTTGATTTGAAGTTGATGTTATATTACCTTCAATAATTTCAACTGGTTGTGAAGATGAAAGAAATGAATTTTGATTGTCATTCATAATTTCCTGAAGTTTTACGAATAAAAACAATAATATTAAATTTTTTTTACAAAAATTAACTAATGCATCATCTATGCGTCATGTTCAATCATTATTGGTTGAAAATTCTTACCAATGAAAAATAATAATAATAATAAATTTAGGTTATTATCTTTCTTTTTTTTTTTTTTCCTCAGCTTATCATTTCAACATTAATAAATACATACAAACGATTATGTACATAACTATGCATACAAAAAAAAAAAATATGTTGTACTTTTTTTTTGTTTTTCTTTTTTCGTATTCTACATTCAAGAACAAGTACGAATTTCATTATTTGATATTCTATTTCAGTGCTATGCGTGAATGCGCAATAGAATAAAAAACGCCTCAAACATCATTCAAATGTTTGTTCTTTTTTCTTTTTTTTGTTTTTAAAGAGAAGTATTTCAGATGATAATTATTTGGTATAGAATATTTTTTTCTTTAATTTATTCTTCGATTATTGTATCATCATTATTAAATCAATCAATATTTCTTGATTCAATTCATCAAAATATTCATGATGATACATCATTAGATAAATTTTATCGAAATATTTTACGTGATGTAAAACATCATCGATCTGTTGATACTGTTTATTCATCAATAAATGTAACAAAAATTCGATCAAATGATTATGATGAAGAATATATAAAAAATTCAGTAAAAATTTCATATTTTATGCAAAAAGAAAAAAAAATTCTATCTTTTATTAGTGTTATGAAACAGCATCTGATTTACTCTATGCTCATGGTTATAATAGAACTAATGTTCAATTATCAATCAATGATATTCAATCTCTTCTTCCAGCTATTTTATATAGTATTGAAAATCCCGGATGTATACGACAAGCACCTCAATCAAAATCAAATTCATTTTTTGATGGTAAACTATGAATAACTCAAAATATTTGTTTTTTTCATATGACCATGAATATAATAATTATTTCGTTCTGTATAATTTCCATTTTACAAAATGAAAAATTTGCCAAAAAATGATAATATTTTTCTAATTAATTTTTTATCACGAAACAATTTTTATAGGTGCATAAAATGATACGTTTATTATATTCATGATTATATGAAATCTAAAACTCGAGATTTTTGTTTTTTTTTTTTTAATTGGAGAAGTAAACTTAAAAAAAAAAGAAAATTTGTAGAAATTTTGAATCGTATGCATTTTAAAAATATAATTTTGTATTTTTTTAAATAATTTTTAGTATGGATATTAGGTTTAATAGTAGTTATTGTTATAAAATTAATTCATGTAATTATATTTTTTATTGGTGGTGATCATTGTTTATCATTAACATCAGTGAGTGTTTCAAAAACTTTATCAGAAGAAAATGAAACAAGAGATAATACAAAAACTACTATTCGTTTTCCACCATTAATATATCGTCTTTGGTTAGGTCTTGGTTTTAATGCATTTACATGTGGTCTAATGCTTGGAACAATTATTTATCATTTAATTCCTCATGTATAATAAAATAGAAATTATTTATTCCATTTTCTATTGAAGATTTTTTTTTATTTTTGTTTAATTTAGATTTATGAAGTACCAAATGAAAGTTTTGATTATATTTATCTTTTTCGAGCAACAATTGTATTTTTTGGTGTTTATTTATTTTTTATTGTCGAAAAACTTCTTCGATTTCGATTTAAAATTGATGAAGTAAATTTATTATAAAATTGATTTTTACCTTTTTTGTTTTTTTTTTACTATAGATGCATTTAAATGAAACAAATGATGATCAACATGAATTAAGAAAATTATCAGATTCATCTATGATACAAATGGCTAGAATGCATGGAACATTACATGCTAGTGGAGATGTATTTATGTTTGCTACCTTTTTTTTTTTTAATTTTTAATAAGAATAATTATTTTATAGGATGATCATCATTATAGACATTCAAATCCACCAGCAAGAATACCAGTAAGTTGAAATAATGTAGAAGATTCGTCATTTTCACTTCGATCGTAAATATTTAAGTTTTTTTCTTTTTTTTGTCTTATACGTTACGGTTCATTGGACTCAAACATTTATTTTATGGATATTTTGATCAAATTAGGATGCATATATATATTTTTTTTTTCGCTTGCAATTACATTATGCCCTTGAATTTCAGTTGATTTTAGAAAATTCGAAGATTTTAAAAGTTGATATGGTTGAGTTGAGGAGAAAATTTTCAGATATTTTTAGTTGAAGATTCATTTTTCTTAATTTTTATCTTAGTTACATGATGATAGTGATGATGAAGAAGTTATTTTACAATCAAATCAAACTCCTCTTAATAATGATAAAAATACATCACATCATCATCATTCAACAAATGAACTTCCTCATCAAAAACGTAATCTCATATTATATCACATAATTAATGATTTTTTCAATGATCTCATCTATGGTTGTGGTTTATCAACAGCCATAGCACATAATCGTCTGATTGGTTTAATTTTAAGTCTTATGATATTTAGTGAAGGATTTCGACGTCATTCACGTAAGACTAACAAAAAAAAAATTCATACAGTTTTTTACTTTTTTAACTTAAAATAAAACAAATTCATTATTTAGAAACAATTTCATCAATGGGTCGAAAACGTGGTCTTTTCTTTCTTATTATTTCAATATTTTTTCTTCTACTTGGTTATTTAATTGGTGGAATTCTTATGGAAATTAATCAACGATTTGATAATAATATAGTATATATTCGTACAGAATATATCTATTCAATCGTATATGGTGCACTGTTTTATACAGCACTTGTAACGTTGGTAAGATATTTTTATAGCAATACTTATACTTTTTATTACAGTCATATTACTGATTCTTTTTATGATTAACTATTCTTTCATTTAATAACCTGGATGTCTAAGAAGGAATTAAGTAGTAGCCGTATATGATATATTTGTTTATTCAAATAACCAACTGAAAGCAAAAATAAACACTATTTTATGTAGATTTAATAATAATAAAAAAAGTGTGTCATACAATATTCAATAGTGTTTGATTGATTCTATCCTTCCTTTGTTTTTATTAGCATACTTCCTGTATTTTTTTTTAATATATTATATATAGCGAGAAAATACCAAATGTGTTGCATCTCATAATATATTCACCTTAAATAAATAATAAAACTTAAGAGCTTTACTAAGAACAAACAAAAAAAAAAGGAAAGCTTTGTTTTGTATTTCTATTAAAATATATTCGATTATAGGTTACATTTATGCTGAACTCTATTTTCGAACATAATCATTATAATAAAAAAACAAAAAACATGCAGACTATTTTTGTCGATGAAAATTTAGAAACGCGTCATTTTTTAAATCATATCATGTTTCTTTGTCATTTGTGTTGATGTGCATAGCACAACATCCCTTTCTTTTCCTTATAGCATATATTTCTTGTTTGTTACTTATTATATTCCATCTTAGTATCTAATGTGTTATTCGATTACCAATAACAGACTTCTTGTTACTATTATTATCAACTTTGTATTTATTTTAAAATATATGATATAAATATATATAGAGAGAGAGTTTATGTATATTATCTATGTCTTGTAAAAAAACCTATTTCAAATGGTTTTCTTCCTATTTAGCAGACGCAATATCAGAAGTGAATTTCAATGTAATGTACACGATCAGACACACAATATTTAGATCGTTATTAAATGTGTACAGTAGGGTAAAGGACAATCGTAATAGTGCATCGACCAAACGTCAATTGATAACTATTTATGGCCGTAGACTGTGTGACACGACAGTATAGACAACTATTTTTAGCTGTCTCGACAACTGTAATTAGTAGCCTGGGAAGCCTATGAATATTCTTTATTATGATCCAGATGTAAAGGTCTAATGTCGAGAAAAAAAGAGTATTTTTGTTTTCTGATCTATACTTTAATGCAACATATTTTGTACATTCTTGATAGGAGTCGTTCTATTAATTAATCATGTCCTATTTCTAAAACTAAAAGTCTGATATAGTTTTGAAATTCTTATCAGAGTTGTAACCATAAACGGTTAATATAGATATTTTTTTTGATTATTTTATGTGTCTTTTTTTTTCGCAAATTCAACATTTAACTGATGTTAAAGATTATTTGTATGAGAAAAAAAATGTGCTGAATTATCCCGTTTAGTTGAAATTCATCACAATATTCTTATCACATTTTATCAATTCACTTTTCATATCAAGTTATATGATCAAAAGAAAATTGACTAATCATTTAACATTATAATTATTATCGATTTACTTAGATTTCCTCTAAGATGTATTATGCATAGATATGACAGATAACCAAGCAAATATCATATGCAAAACAGATTAAATATACAAATAATCACTAACATCTGTGTCTTACAAACAGCTAACAAATATGAAAAGCTGTCATAGAATTTGGAATCCTATCGAGTCTTCTATACCAAAAGACAAAACAACGTCCGGTAATAAATACAAAAAAAAAGTACTAAATCACAAGATAGATGACTTTTTAAGTATCCAACTAGCTCCCGGTCATTGTCGACATATCAACAGTATTCAATATCATAACTGTAATGATTAGGATACGGACATGACTAATCACAAAGTTGTTCTACGCGAAGAATGATTCATGCTGGTATATCGTTCGGTCTGATCGTTTTTACCGGTAACGAATGAAAAAAAGCTTAAGAGTTTTACTCTGCTCCTCTCCTCGATACGACGCATATATCAAGAAAGTAAAGTTGTCAGTTGCGATAGAAACAAAAACAGCAAGTTAGGGATTCGTCAATTTCAGTAAAGCATGTTTTTTTTTTGCGTCCTATACACCAATGTAATATGCATATATTAAAAATAATTCTCTTTTTCTCATTTAAGATTCCTGAACTGAATGATTTTGGTCATCATTTACAAGTAATTCTCAAACAAACAAATCAAACATCAAAACAACGTCGTTTAATAAAAACACTTATTCTCATATGTCAAAATCTTTTTCTTATAATCGGTGTTATAATTGCTTTAGTATTAGCATCAGTTTGGCGCTATTATCATCGTATAAATATTTATGATTATGTTTGTAGTCGAGATGTATCTCGATGGTTTTGTCGTAATCATTAAAATTTATAAAAAACAAAAGAAAAAAATATGAATCTTTTCAAATATTATTATCATTGACATGTGTGATAAAAAAAATTGCAGTTTAATTATCTCTGTTAGCTATTCAAATCCATCATTTTCTTTTTTTTTTTCTACATGTTATTATTTTCATTCATAGTATATAGTCATAAAATTTTTTTTTAGATAATGATTTATTATCTAGTCATCATTTCGATTTTAGTGGGATCATATACAGTATTAACAAATAATAACATATTAAATAATTTTGAAGAAAATCTTCTTTATAAACATATTAAAACAAAAACTAATTTGGATTTATTCTATCGAAAATTTATTAATACAAATAGTATAGATAATTTAAAAGTGATACAAAATATTCATCATGATAATGATATTCGAGATTTGAATATAGAACATAAAGTAAATATTCAATAGTATTTCTTTTTCATAGTATTTAATTATCGTATATATTTCATAGATAATCAAATTTTTTTTTATTGTAATTTAATTAATTTACTTTTGTTTTACTTTAAATTGATATCATGTTTGTGAATATTTATTCAATCTATATAATAATTCTAAGCTTAATATGACTTCTATTTAGTTGTTTGTGACATTTAATAAAAATTTAAAATGAATATTCTTGAGTAAGATTTATAAATGAATTAAAGACAATTAATGAATATATAAATCAATAGATTTTTGATCTTGTAGTAGTTATTCTATAATGATTGACAAAAAAGTTTAGAGCAGTTGCCTTTTTTAAGTTTTCTTTCTCAATGGTAATAATTAACAAGAATCGGAAAGATCATTTGCTTAGCTAAAAAAATTTCTCTATCACGATCGATAGAATCCAAGAAAACTATTTAGATGAGTGTTTGCGGAACAGCAAGATGCAGCTCTCTAACTTCCGTTCTGAAGTTTTGCGGGAAATTTTTATTTCATTCATGAAGAGATCAGCGATAAACAAATTGTTTTTTCAACAGCTTCCAATAGAAGTTAGAAAGCTGATTGTGAGAGGCTTGGTTTTTCGCAAATCATCATCAAAACAGTTCTTTTTTGAGTCTTCGAGCCTATCAATCCTGAGAAAGAATCCTTTCAACTATGCAAATGGTATTTTAGATCTATGCTAGTTATTATTATCGAGAAGGAAACTTGAAAATCCAATTGCTCTGAATTTATATTCAACGCTTAATATGATTTCAATTTGTAAAACAAGCCTATCAGTAAGCTTTCGATAGATTGATGGCTGTACGACTTGATACAAGTATTTGTATTCAAACAGATTGTTACCTAACACTCTTTATTTTAATCTATATATACTTGTAAAGAAAGCGGTAGCGAGAAAGATGAGCACAAAAAGAATAAATGTGAGGAAAGTGGACCACGTAAAAAAATCAAAGTAAATAATTAAGGAGTCTGTAGAAAAATTAATGAAAGGTTAAAACCGATTTGAATCCAAACGAAAATTTTCTTATTTGTTTCAATCTTCATTAGATTCCTTGATCTTTCAATAGATCTCATACTTTTACCTTGGTTGTCTTTCATCACCACTGCTTAAAATAATTTTTAGTTTTTATGCCAAGAAAAAGGATGGTATGTTCAGTACCTTGAAAAACTCGCAAAAAAAATTGTTCATCTATTTATAGAAGTACTTTTTTCATATGATAATATAACGAGCTTAATTTAAAAGCCGACTCTGTCAGGCACTGTAGCTTTACATGCTCTTTCAAACAACAAAAAAAACAAGTAATTTGATACAATTAGGCTTTGTCGAGAATTGTAGAACACGGAATCAGAAAAATGCACAGAGAAAAAAACAATATACTAAATAAAAATTTATATCGTTTGTGAAATGGAGAGAGACTTAAGTTTTCGATGCTTAACATTCACCAATTCCACGAAAGCATTGAGAAATAGACAAAATTTCGATATCGACACCAGAGATGTCCATCGCGGTTGAAAACTGATCGCTGCCGCGACGCCACCAAAAATAACCATGCCGCGACCGCGCCGCTGCCGCAATGATTGTTAGAATAATGTTGTGAATTTTACGATCTGTGACTGTTCAGGACTTGAGCTGTTGTTACCAATCGATAAGATTTGTTGAATCTCATAGTTTTGTACTTGCAAACACTGAAATTCTGTTCGAATTCATGCATTTTTGCATTGTTCTCCAAAAAAACCTACCGCTACCGCGCCGCTGCCGCGATAGTTAGTTATAAAAACGACCGCTGCCGCGCCGCACCGTGATGGTAATTTGAAAAAAAACAACCGCTACCGCGCCGCCACCGCCACAGCGGCAGCGGTCGCGCCGCGATGGACATCTCTGGTCGACACTATCATATTGTTTGAAAAGAGAAATATCTTTTAATAACGTCTGTTTAATGCATTGAGAATTTATTTTTTCTATCGAAGAATTATGATCATCGAATTCTAATGAACCTACTTCTTTTAAAAAATAAATAATAATATCTTCACATCATTTTCAGTGTTTTCAATCAATAAATGATCTGTTTAATGTTTTCAATATTCAACAAGATAATATAAATGATAGTTTAACTGTTGCTGATATCCAACGATTATTACCTGGTCTTGTTTATGCTAAATTTAATACTGAATGTCGCGAATCAAAAGGACATGCAACATGGAAAAGTATACAATGAGTATGATTATTTACGTTAAAACTCTATGATTATTCTAGATATTTTGATCGGTTTGATTGCTGTTACTTTTATTAATTGCTCAGCATTGACTGGTGCTTTTATATTGCCATTCCGAAAAAAATCTGCTTTTAAATGGATACTTAGTACATTTATTGGTATAGGTATAATGAATATTTTTGAGTATAAATGCATATAGACCAAGAGTCTGCTGTTTTTCAGCTGTAGGTACACTGACAGGATCAGGGATATTCCATTTAATTCCTATGGTTAGTATATTTACATATATATTTTTAATGGGAAAAATATGTTTTCTTTTTATTTTTTTCTTAAGGCATTTAACATTCCAAAACTTGATACTTATCATCGCTATCTTAATACAGCTCTTGTCACAATGATTGCTATCTATATATTTTATATGCGTGATCAACTATCAAGAATTTTCTTAAATATTGAAACAGTTTGTATATGTTATTATTTAATAAATTTTATTGTTTTATTTTACTTCTATATTTAGGTTATATGTACACATAACCATGAATGTGATGAAATATCAGTAAATTTCTTTAATTATTTACTTACTTGAAATATTTGTTTTTCTTTCTTTTTTCATTATAGATAGAATCAAGCGATATAAATAAATATATTCCTTCTTGTACTCAAAACTCAACCGACAAAAATTCTAAAGTATGTCTCAAATATTTCAAATTTAGGAGAATATAACAGATTTCATGTTTTCAAAAAAATTTCAATTTCTACACATCAATCTGCAATGTATGATGCTACAAGCTAAAGAATACTATTGCAAGACTCCAGAATACTTTCGATGATATATAGCTAGAATTCATTTTTACACATTCATTTGAAGAAGTCTAATTTCTAGCTTGGCGTTAAGTTGAACTGAAAAATTCATTTTATAATGACAAGTATATGGGATATGCGTGCTGATGCTGTTGTAGCTAGGGGGTGTGAGTTTGTGGGTGAAGACAAGAGTTGCATCTCTACCGATCGCATCATTCACACTCAGATATTAAGTTTATGGGTTGTTTTTCACTGACCTAATTATGAGTTAGCTAATGTTTTATTTAAAATACATGTTAGAAGTCAAAAACAAAGCAAGACAACTATCTTATAGGATTAGTCATCAATGCTAATATTGAAGTTACTCAATGAAGCATTGACGAACAGTTAACTGTAATAGAATAAATTTTTTAATACAACTTAGTCCCATAAATATACACAACATGTCTATATCCTTTTCATATTAAAGGGAATTACTGGACTGGATACGGTACAGACTAATTGTTTTAGTTCCGGTTCAGAGAACATCTTGCCCAAACCTATATGTAAGTCAATCTAATCTAAAAAATATAAACTTCATTTTCATATTCTTTTTGTATTCAAATTAATTATCTGTGTTTATATCTTGAAGCATTGAAATAAATCTTCATGAAATATTTTTCCTAGTCATTGCATTTGAATTTCCTGTCACAAAATAGATTTGATTGACTTTTTTGTTTTCTTCTTAAATAAATCTTCGATTTTCTGTTTTCTTAGATCTTGATTGCAAGTAAATATCTCGATAATCTAATAGAAAATTTAAAAGCAATGAAAGCAGCTGGATGGATGATTTTTATTGGAGATATGTTACATAATTTTATTGATGGTTTAACATTAGGTGCAGCGTTTATGGTATCAATTGGTGAAGGTCTTCGAATGACTTTACCAATAGCATGTGAAGAATTTCCACATGAACTTGGTGATCTAGCTGTTTTACTTAGTAGTGGTTTAACTATTGGACAAGCAATCATAGTTAATTTTCTATCAGCTTGCAGCTGTTATCTTGGATTTTTCGTTGGCGCAAAATTAGGTTTGTTAAAATTTAAGTTATTCACTCAGCAATTTAATTCCTTTTTGTTTTTTAAGGAGAATTAGAAGAATTTCATCCATGGATATATGCTTTAGCTGGTGGAATGTTTGTGTATATTGGTCTTGCAGATATGGTAGATGAATATTTTTTTTTTTGAATCAAGATATTATGTTTTTCATTTCGTATAGATACCAGAACTTGTTGCAATGGGTGATGAAATAGAAAAAGATTATATTGACACGAAAAAATCCATAACAACAATTTTAAAACTTAAAATATTATTATGTCAAAATAGTGGTGTTATTCTTGGTGTTATTATCATGTTTCTACTCGGGAAATACGGTACACATTTAGAAAGTCTGATTGAATTCTAGAATGAAAAGAATTTTTTTTTTTCGTTTTATCTTTCACTTGATTTATAATTACAGGAAAAAGAAATAATCTTTGAACTTTTTGTTTTCGTTTTTTTTTATCTGTTTTCGATAGTCATTTATTATGAACTTTATTTCATATAATTTTTCAATAAAGAGAAATGAAGTATGTTTAACAATTAAAAATATTTAAGTAAAGTAATACAGTAGATTTTATTTATTTAAATAGAAAGAAAAGCGCATTTGTCTAATGTCTGAGAAATTGAAAATGGAGAACTACGAACGTCTTTTTTTCTGATATCATATGAAACAAAACCATTTTGAAACTCATGATTTCTACAAAACATGCATAAAAGCGGTATTTTGTTTCGATTTATTGGTGGTTTTAACACGTGCTTTAGATCTATAGTTCAAGACACGATTCAGTTCATTATCCTTTCACGTCTCTATTTTGAGCAACATACAGTTGTATTCTATATGAAAAATTATATTATTTCTTTTCTTTCTTAAACATCAACAACAATAAAAGAGATTATCTCAAATTCTATAAAAAAAGAAGTGGTCCAACTTGATGCCTCTCTATTTCTAAAATTCGATCAATATCGCTAATAATACGTTCGTTTATTGCTGATAACACTATGTTAGTACCAAACGTCAAAATTGTTACAGCACGGGTACCAACTCGTCTTCGTCATATATCTGTGCCAATGATCTACGTTGTAAGACTACAACAGACATATATAACAGTCACCATAGCCAATGAATACTTCACTATACTGTAATGAGCTTGTGCACCGCATGTTTTTCTGTTGAAGCTTTTCTACAATCAACGCTTGAATGTTTCTATAAAAATCAAGGCTATTTAACCTTTCTTGTCGACTATGACAACGCATCATTTTTTTTAATAATTTCACTGCACTTGATTCATCCCCTAATGTTACACATTTTGCAATAACGAGCACTATTGGCTCTATGCTCACAGAACTCTTCATTGAAAACTGAAACCTGTCTTTCTATTATTCATCGTATTTCACTCAATGCCAGGCACCATCGTGCTCCTATCAAATTTTACAAGATGATACAACACTCGAAGCTATGACGGCAGTTGTTGCTCTAGTTGGAAGTCTTTCAGTCTCGCTGTGCATCTTAACTTCATTGCTTATCACTGCATTTTTCAATCTCTTTCAGTGACAAGTACGGCAGCAGCATGTAACGCAAGAATTTGATAAGAATCTGTTTGCATTTTGTGTTTCTTCAGTAGAAACAGTTCGGTAGAGAACTCTCATTCATTAACTTCTATTGTAGACCGTTAATTTTTTAAGAGAAATCTTGAAATGAATAAGAACTGTCAGAACTACAAGCATGGTTTTAGAATGAGAAAAAAGTGCCAATAGACTTTCCTTGAATGCATTACTTAATCTTTTGTCTCTTTCAGAAAATTCATTGTTTTGAAAAAAAAGTGAAAATGGAGTTTTTTTTTTCGTTGAAAGATGCAACAAAGTTTTCTCTCTCTGAATATATATGACATTTGTAAAAAAAACTTTTAGCCCTACTACTCAGTTTTCCGGAGGGAAGAGAAGAAGGAAGGACAACTAAACATTGAAAAAAAAGGTATTTTATTAAGTATGAACGATATCACATATATCGTATTTGATTTAATAAAAAAAACATTTTAGCTTCTTTTCAATTATGATTGACTATCTTCGGCCACAAGATTCGCGCTCAGTTGCAAAAATGGAATGCATGCGAAGATTCGAATCATACACGCAATATACAACATCAATGATTTTCAACACGGATCTACTTATTTCTACTCTGTACATCGGTATCCATTTTTGTTATCTATACAGTCATGAGCTACTCAATAACTACATTTTGCAGGCAAGAATCTGTCTGTTGATCAATTTCAACAGATGTAAAAAACATGTGGCTTCGGTGCCTTTCATTGTTCATATTCTCATTTATCTGTAATCTATTTATTGTTTGTCTATATCAAATGCACTTTTCATCAATATGCTCAAGTCAATTTATCTCTGATCCATACCTTCCAAAGTTCTTTCGTTTGTATCATCAGTTGGATGCACCATTTTTACTCATTTTCAGACACTATGTATCCTATGCAATCTTGTTCAGGATGCTATGAATGATGTTCGTGAGCAATATGTCGTTCATATTTCGTTTCTGCTACCAAGATCGATTTTAACTTGTTTAGTAAGGCAATTAATTTATCACTTGTCAACTTTGTCTCGGCTTTACCTAACTCGCTTTCGTAATCGTTTTAACTCGTCTGAGGCATGACACAAGTGAACGGTTTGGGTTCAGTCTATTCGACCAACTGGTATCATGTACCTGATAATTTACAGAAATTAGCAACCATGTACTGGTATCCACCATACTATGACGACAATAGTTGCAACTGTGCCACCTCATCAACAGGCACTCAGCCTTCAATGCCTACAATCAAGGTTATCTTGTCGGGTAAGAGAATCCTTGGTTCACTATACGAGTTGCCACTATAGGTATTGATGAAAAATTCAGTTGTCTCCATGAAATGTATCTCTGCCATTAGTTTCGTCATGAAAAAAAAAAGAACTATATAAGTAGTTTCTTTCTTAGATACACTCCTTCGAAGTACAATCCAATGCCTTCATGTTAATCCGCGTGTTGATCTTCTCTTTCTCTACTTGAATACAACATTGCCATTCCCTACCGCCATAGACAAAAATAAAACTCGTTTTTCTCTTAATAATACCCTTGCTTCAATGGTTCAGCAAATATTTATCGAAACGTGTTCATCTAACCTTTCATATGAACGATTCTGCCAGAAGTGTGTCCCTATGGCTTGTTCTGTCACACTCATAGAACGAAATAGCTTTATCATTATTTTTACGATCCTCTGACGAATCTATGGCGAATTGACCACTTTTCTTAGACTAATGGTTCTTTTCGGTCTTCTCATGGGTTAACAAGCTGATTGTGATATGCAAGCGACAACAGCGATGAATCTGAAGCGAGTGAGTTTTTTGCCATACACATCCAAATGAGAAGTATATTGTCAAGAATATTGGTTGATAAAACATCTCGCACATTGGTTTCGCATCAATAATGCTCAATGTCAAAATTTGGATCATTTCCTTAGCTTCTTCTGTTTATATGTCACTATTAGTTCAATAATTGTTGTATTTCTACGAGTATAATGCTGTATAACCACTATTCTTGTTTTTCTGTAAGCATTTTAAATATTGTATTCTGTACAATGTGACCTATGCAAGTGTTGCTATAATGAGTGCCTTTGTCACTAAAACGAATATCTAATATTACTAGATGAAGAAATCTCATATAGTCAAGCGTATGAATAATTGAGAATATTTTCTAAAGTGAAGATCATTGCCGCATAGTATTTGCGCTAATTTTGTCAAAACAGTTATTGAATCAAATTATGGTTGAGTCTGTTCTGTCAAATAATTACCAGGGTGTGAAGGTACATGGCGATTAAGTTGTAGTTGAACTTTCGTATTCTCTTTTTCTAAATCACCAATGGTACCTTAACTAATACCTACACCAACCCATACCCTTCATATACATACATGATACAAAAGAATAGGTATTATATGAATGGCTACTTTATCAATTGTCTATTATTCCTTCTGTTTTAAAGTAATTTTTGCTTTTTCCGCATTTGATACACCTACAAGATTATTGCTTTTCTTTTGCTTTGTTTTTTTAGCAGTTGATAGTTCTTTCTTTGCGATTTCATCTACTGTCTTTTGCCATTCTCTTACGAGTATTTTATATTCATCATCATTCTCAATATTTATGCGTAGTTGATTATCGTTGATTTTATCTTTCAGAGTTCCCCAACACAGATGACTTGGTCGACAACATCGTCGATAATCACTGATAGCTGATTGTTTTGCATCTTGTTTTGAGGCATCTAACATTTTGCAGCGTAATGGATTGTGTCGAATAACCTTTGTATTGAGATTGTTGATATCTTCATTCTCACTATCTGAATCTGATTGTTCAGCATATGGAAATGTGAATAAACGTTTCTTTTGGCCAAACATAAATGTGATTACTTTTTTGTATTTTCCTTTGTTACTGAGATCTGCAGGATATGTCCAACATTGTGTGAGAGTGACAGGAGTACAACAATCAAATATTTTTTTGACACTTTCCAAGTCGTTCGGTAAGTATGGCATTCTATCGAGGTTAGCATCGTAGGCGTCTGAAAACATCTTCTTGAAATAATCATTAACATCTTGATTTAGAGTTTCATTGACATGATTGTCATCGTTTGATTTAGGTAACATGGCTTTCTCACAAGGCTCGTTTTGTTTTATTGAGTCAACTTTTAAAGTTGTGCTGATCAATCTTCTGCCAATCTTATCAACTTCGTGGCGCCACTTTTCAGTGAATTTGAGATAGTCCGGATGTGATTCTACTCTATTATGAATAGTCATATCATGCCCATTATCTGTATAGGATCCCCACCGCAAATGGCTTGGACGACAACACCAAAGATGCAAAGTCTTTTTATGCTCGTTCCTTTCATTCGAATGAACCTTTTCAGATAATTCTCGGATCATCTCACACCTCAATGGATTGTGACGTACTAGCTTAATGTCCGCGCATTGCTCCTCGTGAGGAAAACAGAATAGCTTCTCTTTATCCATTCCAAAAACGTATGCCTCCATGATCGTTTCATACATTGGTTTGTCTGGTAAGTATGTCCAGCAACCTATCAATCTAACAGATGTACAAATTTTGAATACTTCCTCAGCAGCCTTACGATTCTTGGGTAGACATCTCATTTTATCCAAATCTTCATCAAAGGCATAGTCGAACTTTTCCTTGAGATACGAAATAACTGCATCGTCAACCTGATTAATATCAGTAGTTGATGATGGCAAGTTAGAGACTGTTGAGATGACATTAGTCGTGGTGGCAGATTCTTGCTCTTGTTTAGATGAAGTAATGGTTGACGGCACATTGTCTTTCAATGATTCTGTCGAATGATCGAGACATGACTCTGTTGTTGTTGTCATCATATGTTCTCTAAAACTAAGAGAAACAATAAAATCTAGCAAGTAATTATTGTCGATACTAAAAGTAATTGAAGGAAGACAAAATTGATTTAGATATTTAATCTCATGTTTCTAATTCTAAAGTCACTCCGACGACATTACTCATATCATCATCGTATTGAAAACGTAACGAAAAGAAAAGCACGGACTTCAAAGAGAAAAGTATTGATAGGAGTGTGAGCGAAGGCAAATGACTAGCCATTGATACTCTTACTGATTGCTGTTGCCCATCCACAGCCAAACACACGTGCATGCACACCCTTGCGTCTACATGATTACTATTATCATGCTAGCGTGTCAAATCCTTGTTTCTATGACAAAAACGTATTTTTTTAAAGCATTAGGTAGCATATTTTATGAAAATTCTTCGTACAAAAAAGGACTGCCGCCTATCAAATCATGTTGATTGTAAAATCTCAAGGTCTAGGGAAAGGGCACCATGTGTTAATCTCAATTTCGCGTTATCTAACGAAAATCGATTTATTAACAGCAGGAGGAGAGGTTAAAGCGACGCCGAAATGTTTTGAAATATCAACCAATAGTTGAAGTCACGATTTTCCCCTATTGGAATATGCATGTTTTGCAATATTTGGCTGCGCACATTTTGTACTAATTTATTTCTTTCTTGATGACCAGTCGATTTTCGTGTCTGAAACTTCGTCTGAAGTATATTTATTAGTACTTACAGAATTATATACTGTTTTTATATTCTCTCACTTGTACTTCACCTTCAATGCCCTACTGTCAGCTTCGTTAATATGGGCTTTGTATCTGTTTAGTTTGTCTCTATGTTTTATAAGTTAGTAAGGTTGGCAGGTAGTGCTCGCGTCGAATCTAAACATGTTTCGAGTGAATACCGAATAATCTTCGAGCTGTTCTATGAAGTTCTGATGTGGATAGACCGCATCAAGGAAGGGAAAAAAAACATAAACACAACAGATAATATGAAAACTCATTTTCCTTTTTGCTGTGGGACATAGAGTATAAGTCTGTTACCCGTAAAACTACTCTGTCTTGAGACTCATCTACTTCGCCCTGCATCATATCACGCTATGTATTCTCTTCTTCTTTCTACCTGTGCATCATGATGGGATGGCATCGTCTTAATGCCATGTATGATCATAAGTCTTCTAGTACTTTCTACAAATCTTATCAAAATCTGTCCCCATTTCAAGTAGACATTTTTCTAGGCATATCATGTCATTCTAGCACTTGTCTAATCTATTGTTTTGTTCTTAAAGAAATCTCACCCTCAATGATCCTTATTCGGTTGCATAGAAAATTATCTTTTATTATCGTACTTATAACTATTACTTACGATGATCCTTGTAAATCTTATCATGGACCTTCAAGGACAATGAATGTTATGAGAAGCCTTATATCACTTTCAACTATCAGATTTAGTCGTTTTCTTTTGAGTATATAAAAGATGCATGATGCTTGGTCATCACTGGTTGGCAAATAAATGATAAAATTGTTATCAGTTATTCAAAAAATGCTTATTACATCTCGAACAAAGCTCGTAAATCTCTAAAGAGCAAAACATACATCTTTTATCCATAGTTTTCAATCTGATGTATTTATATAATTGCAGTGCAACTAGTAGACAATAGTGGAAATGTGTTGCATGCATGAAGAAGAGAGAAAACAAATGATGTATGAGCAAATTCAAAACTCTTTTTTCTTTCTGAGCACACATCGAGAAATCTTCAGTTTTTAATTGTTAAAAGTACAGGTTACAGTTTAGATGTAGCGTCTCAAATCTCAACAATCCAATTGTGAAAATTTCTAAAAAAAAACTTAAAATATTAATGTCTATCTGATGATCGAGTGATTATTGAAACCGCCAAACTCTATACCTTCGGCAGATAGGGCTAATATATTTCTAAATAAGAATTCTGGAAACCAAAAATTCATAAAAGCATGTCGACATCTCTATCAAGGTCTTTGATGGACATGTAGACTCCATAGATATGCCAAGATACTGTTCCATTGATCATAACATAAATTATCCCATTGAGGCTTTGGTTCAATTCATTGCAGATCGTAATAGGAATGGACACAAAACAGAAATCTCCTGATCATGTTTTTCTACTAAACTACACTCATACTCCTCTCATCCTTTAAATATTTTTCATGAGCTATGAAGCGAAAGTAAATATTAGGTTCAATTGTAAATCGAAGGAGTACTGCTCTGTTACTTAGCTATGCCAATTTATTGTTCAGGCTATTTGATATTGGCAGCAGTAAATAATTTTAAGTATTAAGTTCTCAAAATGAATGATGAAATTTATTTGATTTTCTTTTCGTTCAATTCAATGATACTCTTTTGATTTTTTACTAAGAACAAAATTAGTAGGACGATTGTGAGATAATGGCATTATGCATTGTTCTTCTAATGAAAGATATCATTTATCAAAATTATGTAGAAAGAATACTTCAGAAATCATTTTTTGAAGAATTTTGTCAAACGACATTGAACGAATTCCATTATTTAATTCTTAACATTCAATGGATGACAATATTCTTTCATGGTTTGATCAATACTATATAAAATCTTTATTAAAAATTTTCTCATAAAACAATCGTCATTCAAAGATAATAGCGAATGAACTGATGAAACTATCGTTTTTCTCTTTCGATAATGATGTCGATCTAAACAAAATGAATTACTTTTATTAAATTTTAATAGTCATTTTTACTGCTAAACAAGATAATTTAAAATATGATTTGTCTACAATGTACAAATATCAAAATATTCAAATTTCGAAGTATTTACAGTCTATATCATGTATCCGCACTTTGAAAATTCCTTCTGTCTTCATTTGTCTTTTTTCGTCATGGTTGAATAGAGCTCAACAAATTACGTAATGAAAAATGTCATCGCACACCATTCAAAAGCAATTTTTCAAAAAGACCATGATGCTATTATTGTTAAATATACGAGTAATAGACAAGAAAGTCTGACTTTTGTAAAATTGCTTTTGAATATGTGTATGATATTATTTTTTCATATGTAACTCGTCGAGCTTCAGTGAACCATGATACAAAAAAAGAAGAAGTATGAAGGCTGATATCATTTTCAAGTATAGACACGAAAGCATAGACTCTGAAAACGTTGAAATTCGAATAGCTCAGTTTATACATGTTATGAGTAGGTCATATTTTAAAAGAATTAATTTGGCGATGAAAAAAAGTCATCTGACTCGAATAGAATTCACCTCCTGAATGAAAATATTCTTTGAAATATTTAAGATTGTAAGTAATGGTGTAACCCGAAGATCGTAGATAGTAGGGCAGTACTCTGCAATCTTAGGAAGAATCCATGCAATATAGAATCAATGATAATAATAATTATATTATTCTTTCTTCTGATGATATGACAGCGTCTACCCTATTTCACTCTTACGAGGGAACCGTTCCAACTGATTCATGCCGATTTTGCTCATGTTTTGCCCATATGTAGGAGTCAGTATGCTAAGAAAAAGTCTAAGAGGATTTGAGCCCATGGTGCTTCTTTCGAAGGTTATGACCATTTTACTGATTTTTCGACCTATGGCAAGGTATTGACAAAATATTCGAATGATGAAATTCTGACTTGAAATTTTGCCCATATGTAGCTCTCATGGTCCTTAATGTATGCTAAAAGTTTCAGCAAAAATAAATGTCCCATTGCCGAGATAATGAATTTGCAATAAGTGTCTGCATTTTATAGAGGACTCAGAAAAAATCGAGTTTTCTTGGACATTCATTATCTCGGCAATGGGACATTTATTTTTGCTGAAACTTTTAGCATACATTAAGGGCCATGAGAGCTACATATGGGCAAAATTTCAAATCAGAATTTCATCACTCGAATTTTTTGTAAATACCTTGCCATAGGCCGAAAAATCAGTAAAATGACCATAACCTTCGAAAGAAGCACCATGGGCTCAAATCCTCTTAGGTTTTTTCTTAGCATACTGACTCCTACATATGGG